AGTCGATTATTTCACAATGCTATGTATAGAGCAGCGTGAACATAACTCTTCAAGCACTACCAGAGCTCACCTTACGGTCAGTCGACCTCCCAACGGGCTCACGTTCTATGCACGCGAATCGCACGAGGGCATCATAGGGTGGCGAGATCGGGGGAGACGTTCAGCTCTCCCCCTGAGGTCAGGTCACCAGAGCTGCGATCGAACCAAAGGTTAACCTTGGGTTTGGGCTTAGGCCTATGCTTAGCTTACGCATTGGTTCATGCTGGCCTATGTTTGAGCCTAGGCTCAATTTTAAGCTTGCTTAGGGCAAATTAATGGTGTATCAGTTTCAAGGTGACCTACCTGAGATCTGTAACGCACCCCGAGATCGGCTGAAAACAAGAGGCCGAAGACGAGGGAAGGCAAAGCGTTCACTCCGAGAGGTATTGCCTATTGTTAGGTTGCATTTGTATGGAGATTCGGGCAGTACACATCTCAAAATTGTAACTGCGTTCAAGAAGGAAAAAAACCTGATCTCATCTTTGGAGGATAAAGCACAGAGTGATGTTTAGAGCCGCACCAGGGAGGGAACGCTCATCCTTGATGAAGTTGTCAGAACATTCTTGCACACAAGTAATTGCTGCTCAAAAAAAGTGAAACGCGTCCGTTGCTGCCTTCTCAGTGTTCGACGAAAAATCTCTTCAAAAACTGGAAAATTTTCAACCCATATCTTCAATTTTCGACCCATATCTTCTACTTCGAAACTAGTCCCACTTTTCCACTGGAAAATGAGGAATGAGAACGTTGAGCACAAGGTCTACACGCTCCATCATTCAGCGTTTCATATGAAAAAGGAACCATGGAATCGAGAAAAAAATATTCGATTCAATTTCACATTTTAGTGGATGAGTCGAGTACGTGGCGCATTCTGGAGCAAATGTTGAACACTCTCGTCCTGCTCGCTAACTAGTTCGTATAACTATTATTGCGGCGTATACATTAATTAGCTCTAGAAGATAGAAGTCGAGTGCATGGCGCATTACGGAATGAATTTTCCAAAACTTCAAAGCGCCACCTTTCATAGCTCGATATGCCGAGTTTATGCTGCTTTTAATGTGAATTTTTGAGTTTGTACGCGAGTACTGTACAAATCTGCCTATCCCACAATGCTTTCACTACCGAAAGTTCCAGTAGTGCTAACGTTGGCTCCCGCCTCTTATCATTACACCTCAGATGGGATAAGTGATGAATGCAATCCATTCTCATATAGATCAAAGTCCCAAAAACATTGTTGGTTTACCAAAGATGAACTCGTTAAAATGGAGACAGTACTAAGTACTTTGACCTCTGAAAATGCTGTTTTCAAATCACAGAGCAAACCCTACTATTCGAATTCAAAAAGCAATGTGGGAATCATTTCCAGTGATGTGATTCAGTTAGGCAGTGTGTGGGCACAGACGTATGAGAGGGCTATATTTGTTCAGCTTCAAACTGTCATTCCAAGTGCTGCCTACTAGTGCTGCCTTCGAGGCTTCGGTATACCAACCTGAACAGGACGTGCTGTGCCATTGCAGCCAACAACAGGAACAGCACACAAAACTGGAAGATCGCTGTCATCGAGAAGTTCTGAAATATTGAATTTTCACTGAGAAGAAACCAAGATGCACCGGCTATATTTGGAACAGGGTGAATAACGGTCGAGGAATTCCTCGACCATGGCTCTCTACTGTGCGAGAGTAGTGTCGAGAGTGAATGTACGCGCGGAGAGCACAGACGGCTCGCGCGTGGCGAGAGTGAATGTCCGCGCGGGAGAGCGTGACTGAACAGGCGAAAATCCTCGACGAGCCGTTGACGAATCCTCAACGATTTTCACCCTGATTCAGAGGTAAGTGTTTATAGGAGACTACGTCCAACTTCAGTGTATCTAGGTTAAATTACATCAAGCTTCAGCTGATGATGGGAATGCGTTGGCAAGAAGATAAAAAGAAAAACAGATAGGATAAGAATAGATAAAAGCCAAGCAGAATTGATCGACTCATTCCAGGGCGTTTTCACCGTTTGTCATAATCTTATCCAAACGTTGAAGACGAATATTAACGGATGGAAGGGCAGGCCCAATAGGAATCAATGTAGATGTACTTGCATGGATAATAGAAGAGGAAACCTGAGGAAAAACGGCCATGCTACCCAGAGAAATTGGAGAAATGGGCCCCCTGGACCGCTGGATTTTATAGCTGGAGCGAGGTGATAGTAATCGTTGGACGATGCAGCGCGCGAGCGACGCGGGTTATGACCATACAGGCACCGGGGCAGGCGCGAAGCGCGACACCTTAACCATTAGGAGCGGCCTGTCTTGCTCACTATGTATTATTCCCACTCTCTTCAATCCTCCAATTTATCAGTGACTTGTCTCAATGACACCGGAGAGTCGATGCCCTAGAAGAAGGCGCTAGCTTTAAGCTGTAAAGGCAGTGAGCGGGTAGTGAGGTTCGATCCGAGGCGCCTCCCTTGAATGTATTTTTTGGCGTTCTTGCTCAAATGACTGCTAGCAAGAAGAATAGAGGGCGGACTTGGAAGGAGGCTCATTTATAGGCACGGGAAGAAAGAGTGTCCAACTAAGCTCCGGAATATCTATAAAAGCTGCATCTCTTTGCAAAACGAGTCCGCCGGGACGCCATACTTGCTGAATCTATAGCTAGCTTTAAGATTTTCTCAGCCGGCTCAGGCGCTCATTACAGGATATCTGGCATTGTCCCAGGGTTGTTTGTAGCTAGGAAAACGTTCCAGTGGCCGATTCGGTAGAGCACAACGTGGAACCAAAACATCGCCTGCTGCTTTGATAGTTTTTGCAGCTTTTTTCGAGCACATCTAGCCAATGGTGCTTTTTGCAATCTGGTTGCAACAGAATAACCATATGGAGTTAGGGTGGAAGATGTAGGATGCTCGTTGTTGAAACACTGCGTACATACCTTGGCGTCCAATAGGCAGTCTTTGCCTAAGCTCCTACCAATGTTTTTGCCCAGTGGAGGGCAGACCTCTATTCCTCTGGGTTATGGTGGCCACAGCTTGTGGCCGCCATACGCAAATTCGTGATCTCTTATGCGTATCGACAAACCTGAGCCATGAATTGGCGAGCTTTCACAACTCTACACGTGGCTCCCTCCATTTCCCCTCTATTCCCCTTCTGATTTAACTACCCTGCTATGTAGCAGAAGGCGACGGTCAGCAGCCTTTCTTCACTTGCAGGCCGAGTAAGAGAACATGTCGGTGAGTGTTCTAGTCGTGTTGTATTACTGCTGCTTTGGCCAGTCTCACACGGGGATCTCTCCGACCCACTGCTACAGTCAAGAGCCGGTGATGGGGAACCTGCTCGGAGCAGTCTCTCGTTCCCACCGCATTCGTATTCCGCATAAAGATTAATGGCTAATAATCAATTTCTGATGCCAGACAATGCAAATACATATACGTGGAAGGAATTCGTCATGCCTAGAATGCCGCAACGCCATCATCAGGAGATTGGCTTGCCGCAGCCATCACTGCTTGCTCACCTGCCACAAAATGAAGATCACAATGAGATTGAGCGGGACCCTGAAGAGGTTGATCGTTGTGGAACGTGTCTCCTCCGGCACATAGATGCCTCGTAAGCAACCCATCGCTGGCCAGAAAATACCAACACAAACCTGAAAAAGATAAACAATTAAACTAACGATCCCAGCCAAATTCGATCGAAGAATCTTTTGTGGGTAGGGTAGCGTAGCCCACGAGCATCACTGCACAGCGAAAGTGCGCGACGATAGGGCTTTACAAATCGAAGCTTATATCGACTTATTTAACTTATGGACGAGATACCTCGTGCACACCCAAAATGCGCAGCGTGGATTACGGCGTAGCGGCTAATTCAAATACGCGCGGGTTAGTGGAGCCGTGGAGCAAGCAAGTTCAGAACTCGTCCGCCCCGCCCCTTCCTTATTTCAAGGAGGAAGAGGGGAAATACTTGTTGATGGCTTCGACGGTTTTTTTGCTTCTTTTTCATTTTTAGTCAACTCGGCATCCACAACTCCATTATCGACCGCTGTGACCCCACAAATTTGATCTGGGGTGTTGCTTCAAAATATAATCCCAGAAGGGGTGGGGGGGGGTGCGAGGTATCTCGTCCATAAGTTCAGATTAGTCGCCATCAATCACTTTGTAAGGCCCTAGCGCCATTGTCGCGCACTTTCGAGCCGCGACAACGGCACATCTGTGATACTCGTGGGCTACTCTATCCCACCCACAGAATAGATTCTTCGACACAACCTCATCTGGGGTTACTGCGTTAAAGGAGGATATTACAATACTTTCGCAAAACTTCGCATCTTTTCATCACTCAATAGGATTGTTATTGTAACCTGGCGAATTTAAGTGTCACAGCATAAGAATTCGAAAAGAGTACGTGGTTTTTCAAAGATCTCATTTCTTTCAGATTTCATAATCTCAATTTTTGTTGCGTAAGTCGTGCACTTCTCCTGTTCCCAAAATTCCAAACCACATTCCACATTGAAATCTTGACTCTGGGGCCAATAAGCTGAGTACAGTACAGGGGACTCGTCCGAACACTCACGCTCACCGCACTAACTTCGTCGAGGGCTGGTGGAGAGAGGCTCATATTCATAAGTTCCTTGAGTTCCTTTACCTTTTTCCTCACGAATAACCTAGATCTCACCGTTGTTGCCCTCTTCAACGTTAACGCTCTCTCGCTGCTATGCGATTAGAGTCCGATGGTGAATTGTAACCTATCGATGTGCGCGCAGAGGCGCGAACGGCACGCGTACGCCCTGCTAGGCCGCCGCAGTACACACTTTGCTTCAAAACGCACATCGTCCCCACCCTTAGGCCGATGTCAGACTTTGCGAATCGCGCGATTCGCTAGCGTCCGCGGTCGCGTTGCGGTACCAGCCAATTGAGTGATTCACTGGCCGCGACGCGACCGCAGACGCTAGCGAATCGCGCGATTCGCAAAGTCTGACATCGGCCTTAGAAGGCCGCCTACTTTTTGACTAAGGATAATTCCTCTTCTTCGAGCTCCAACATTATCGTAGAATTTTTTCGAAGATGGCATGAAGGCAGAGGCAATTATGTGGACGTCATTGATGGGACGGCGTTGAGAGGCGACCACCGCCGCCAGCGCAAGGGGTTGTGGTTGTAAATTTGCAAAAACTGCAGTGGCTCAAAGAGTGGCTAAGGCCGATGTCAGACTTTGCGAATCGCGCGATTCGCTAGCGTCTGCGGTCGCGTCGCGGCCAGTGAATCACTCAATTGGCTGGTACCGCAACGCGACCGCGGACGCTAGCGAATCGCGCGATTCGCAAAGTCTGACATCGGCCTAAAGAGGCAGTTAGCAGGTAGTGATATCTAGAGCCTTTTCACAACCTGGACGGTGCAACGACTTACAGCTTATCACAAAGACATTGTAGGCAGTGATAATTCGGCTTTTTCAATTAACATCTAACTGTAAAGTTACTTGCCGTTCAAAATATTATAAAGTACCTATGGTATTCAATAGAGTGACAAAAACACACCTCAAACACGAGGAATGCGAGGAAAATGGAGACAGCACTGTTCGGCATAACGACCGGTACACCCAAACAGACTGCGGACACCAAAAGTACGTACCTAAAATGAATAATTTAAGAAATTCCTCAGGAAAATCGAGTCATAAATAGATCCCAGTTTTATTACTGGATTTAAATCGTTTGCATGAAGCGTAACTTTGTGACTTCTATTCCATATAGCTATGCAATATAACCCATAATTCAGTACTTCGACTTATTACCCATAGAAAAAGAAATAAGCAACGAGTAAAGAATATCTGTTCCACGTAATGGCGAGTAAGCAGGTCAGAAACAGAACTGAAGAGATTCCTTCAACTCCTAGCGATCACGATATCTGGAGGGCGGGGCAGTTTTGATGACGTCATTTACCATTATAGGCCGATGTCAGACTTGCTCGATTCGCTAGCGTCCGCGGTCGCGTCGCGGCCTGCAAATCGCTCGATTAGCTGGTACCGGAACGCGACTAGAGGCATCGCCATAGGTGGAGTGCACAGCTGAGGCGTCGCCAGGCGCTGGGAGGAACTACCCACTCAACGTCCTTCCACCATGCCTCAATGATGCCCTCACAAATCCAGCACCGGCTACCAATTCCATGGTGGATCACGCCTTTGAAGACCGACTAACCGCATGAAACTTTCCGGACGAATAGTCTTGGAGAGAAGTTTGAAAATCGACGATCCCATCATGGTGGCTACCATGAAACTAGCGAATATATAACCATGTGGTATGGGAGCAAATGTAGCCTGAAAACGACCGTACATTTCTACGAGGTAACTGCAAAAGTCAAAGTTGCCATGTATACCTGAGATAGAGTCCGGTAGTGCCATTCCACACCCCCAATGTCGAACAGGAGCCTTCAACCCCAGGATTGAACAGTCCGCAGGCGAGAGCACATTCCCCTCTGCAGCGCGAATGAGAATCAGGGGCTACAAACCATGGAAAGTAGATTTCTGGATAGCCTTTTTTGCGCTCGTGTCCTTAGGGGGGGGGGACATTTATGTGAGTGGGCCACTTATAGAGCTCGGGACTAAGCCCTAGGGAGAGAAAAGTTTTCGGGAGCAGGTGCTGAGGAATCACTGTCTCTCTGGTGGTTTATTCCGGCATCCTGGGGCATAGTCCTTAGTGTTGCTACTAGGCGATTTTTGAACGCCTGTTTTGAATGTCCCCTAAGGACATGAGGCCCTGTTTTCTTCATTTTTTTCATTCGCAATTCTCATTTCGTAAGCAGGGTGGATGCGGTGTACTGCGGCAGGATACCGCGCGGCATGGTCCGGGTCCACTCCAGATCGATGTTCTCGCGAACAAGGCCTACCTAAGCCGGCTCCATCATTCCGGACTGGTCAACTGCTACGTTGCCTAACTCTCAACTTGTAATTCTGAGTAACTGGCGACAGGAACAACAACGGCTGCACTTGTGAACGAGGCTAGTCAACGCCATTCATTGTATAGGCCCCCATTGTAACTTCGCAATGCCCCTATAACTGTGAATGGGAGTAGAGTGCATGGCGCATCCCAAATAGGTGCGACTGACGGAGAGCCTGCACAAAGGAGAAAATGGAAGCGGTTGAAACGATCTTTGCAAGACCCAGCTCTCGGCGCGTTCTAGAGCCGGGCAGCAGCGATCTTGGTGACCGACTCTGAACCTACCCATCGAAAGCCAAGAACGAAAGTTCTTCTTCAGACAACACAAACACTATCCTGCTGCTCGTCCGATTTCTTGTGCCGCCGGGTCGTTGGTCAGGCTCCATGTTCTCCGCCAACACTTGCAAACAAGAATTGAAGCCCACAAGTGCGGATAAGGTGCTTCAGGAAGCCTTTCATGAGTATGTGGGCCTGGACTGCAGCTCGCACGACGCCACGACCCTCCTGAATCGAAGATTGGCGCGGCGACAAGGCCCCTGGCCTACTATTTACAGCGATAGCACACTGCATCAGCTATGCCCGCCCACCTCCGGAAGTGGTGCGTGGCTGGCATAACGTGTGAAATCAGCTAGGTTGATTGCCGTATCAACCGATGGAACGGCTGGCATATCCGGAAAACTCGTTTGGACGTGCTCTCCCCGAGCAAGCCTCCTTCACTGCTAAGGGAAGGGGTTTCGATTTCGGCCTTGTCGACGGTTTCTTTCGTTTTTTCTTCACTGTCGTTCCACTTCGCATCTCTATACTCAGTTTCAATCGCCATAATACCCCCTTATTGAGCCCGACTTTTGCCTCTAAGTTCATTCAGAGGGTAACAGTACGGTAACATCTCGGTAAGTTCAGGTACCTTCCGTTTTAGAAACCAGAAGCGCGTCGAGTGCAGACCACACACCACAAATGGCATCTACCTTCGAGAAATGCAAATGTTTCTAGACCTAATGAAGTGATCCAAGCCTGTTTGCAGTTGTCTTCGCATCGTTATCAGTTTTCACTATACCAACTCTCATTCAGCAACACATCAGCATATCACTATGTATCACTATTAACAAGATTTATTTGAAGCCGTTCGACACTTTGTGTGTGCTGCACTCTGACGTTCTTTGGTTTTCTGAACAGACGGGTGCTGCCAACGTCACTCTCTCGCCTTCGCCATGAACCCTGGTCACCCCTTCTCTGCAACAGTCCTTTTCTTACCTCGCTCCCTCGATAGCCAAGGTGCTCAGTATATCTTGAAGCTGGTATGCCTGGTGACACACGTCAAACCTTGCACGACAGCTTAGCCCCCGAGGCAAAAAAACTACACTCTTTTTTAACAGCTGACTTACCGACCAACCGCTCCGCCCAATACAAAAATGATAAAAACACAACCCCGCTGACCCCTATTCTGCAAAAAGTTCCAAACGGGCTTTTTTAACACGCGCGTGCTCTAAAAATAAAAACCTGCTAAAAATGACAGGGAATATTTCCTGAAAAGCAAATAAAACCATAATAATTCCCTTCCCCGTCGTCGGCCGGGAGGTTCAGCAGACCTCCACCCACTGCTTGCTGAGCGACTGAGGCTGAACCAAGGCTGAATTCTACTCCATTGAGCACTTACAAGGAGCGCCGCCGGTGGCAAATGAAACGCGCTCTGAGTTCTGAAGCTTTTATTTTCCAAAGCTACCTCCAAACTCCCTGCCCTGACCCTCACCTCATCAGAGCAACCTAGTGTTCTTAATTGTCGCGAATTTGCTTGAGAAATGTGTCTCGTAGAGGAGCCTTGCCTCATCGGCCGTAATTCGGGCCATGTTTCCGTATGAATAAGACTCTACTGGCCAAGACGGCATCAGCGACAAGTCGAATGGTGCACTGAAATACATGAGCATTTACACTTGAAGAGAGGGTTCAGCGAATGCTTCAGGTTCAAAGGGAACTCACACAAATCCATAGGCATCGGCTGCAAACTGTGCGGCGACCCCAGAAAGAATGGCGATCAACGAGTTCCCCAACGCTGCATGGGAGAAAATCGTGCCGAGGAGGTTCTCGGAGAAGCCTCGCTGAAGCAGTCATTCAAGAACAAGACCAGATAAAAATTCTTCGTTAAAACTGATCGGATCAATTTCTGCATGTTTCACAAGCGTAAAATCGATACCTACTCCGTAGCACAGGGATTTTCACTTCCACACAAAAGCTCTTCCTGAACAGTAAATAAACCTATTTCGGATTTTTCATTACCTTGTTGTGCTCGTAGACGAGCCAGCTTTCAAAGGCCGAGTACAGGATGCTGGTGGCAATTCCTCCAAGAAATCTGCCCACCATCAATATTTCTATGCTGGCAAAATGTTTCGTGATGCAAGAGCATCCATACAGTATCCCGTAGATCACACAATTCCGACGACCACTGAAATCTCGGCCAGATACTGTAGAGTTCCGAAAGAGATCGATGAATGCGTACTCACTTACAACTTATCGGCGAACGATCCGATCACTGTTCCAAACAGCAGGCTGGATCCAAAACCGGCGATGAACAACAGCTCGATTTGATGCTTGGACATGCCATAGGACTGGTAGAGAGCATAGACATGGGGTCCTTGTAGCCAGTCGCCCGCTGAAAGCATCACATATTCATACAGCTCATTACTAATCATAAACACGAAAACTCAAGGTGCATATGTTGATCAGGAATGCGCCATGCATTCAATCCCAACTTTGGAATCCTGACATTTTATGATATCTTACAAGACATTCCGATCGTACATTTAGGTGCGCTTATTCCTTTCCATGAAAAGAGAAGTACCAATGTGAATAAAAGAACATGTAGAGCTTACAAAAATGAATTTAAATTGATTTCGTCTCAGGAGCCCCGCCTCCTGTACCTGCCCAAGTGTCAGTTTGAATGAGAGGTGGATTAATTTTTCAGAACCGGATGCAATTTCAAATGAAAAAAGAAACTGTTCGGGTCTTTTGAATAGCTCTTTTAATTTTGTCGGTTACTACGAAGAAGGAGGGGCGATCTGAAAACGTTGACTCAAGAACAAGTGGTGAAGGCCTGAACGAAACAAGATATGTATGGGGCATGGTGTCGAAGGGCGTTCGGCAGTTCTTACATAAAAGGAACTTTCGGGAGAATCGTGATTCTATCTCACCCATAGTTCACTGGCTTCGAACCCATCGTTCACGATAGGAACGAAAAAAAATGTATTTGCTTTAGTAAAAAAAATCGAAAAAAAACGGAAGGGCCGCAACGCGTCCAAAATACCGCCGGACATCTGCCACAAATGCTGGCGGAATGCTACTGTTGTTCTTCGGATTATCGTCCATAGAAACCAGGGTCAACCGTCCGTTGGACAAAGTCCAACGCGACGACGAGAGTAATGCCGAGAGTGAACGTACGCACGGAGACACAGACGGCTCGCGGGTGGCGAGAGTGAATGCCGGTGAACATCGGTCCAACGTCGCTCCAATATCGGTCCAACGTAACGGTTGACCCTGCTAGAAGCTCTTTTTGGCCTTTTGACTTATTGGATTAACATCTCACACCTCTGCTGCATCCTATTCTAATCGATTTGTCTCCACTCTCTGTCTTTTGTGAGTTTGTTTCTCTTCGGAAACTGAATCTTTGTGCGTGGAACTTTGTACGTTATTTCCTGTAATTATGACAGATAATGGCGTGTTGGAGGAAGATTGCAAGACTGTCCCGGGAAGGATCCTTTCAAAAGCGTATTTTACGAATAGAAGCCCTCCCCCCATTAGAATTAAGGTGAAGGTGGTCAGTGGTGTCAGTATGATAAAAAAAAATAGAGAAAAGACTAAAACTCGAGAAATGGGATTCTTTCCTTTGATTTCCCGCATCGATACGACTCTCGTCGGATGCTGCCCTCTTCAACGCTAACGCTCTCTCTGCTAAACGACTGGAGACCCTCGGGAGTGGTAGGTCAGTCAGTGGGTGTGCCGCGTCGATAGCGCCACGGGGATGGCAATGTTGGGTCGCCGGGGCATATCCACGTATGCGTATCGGTCCACACCGTTCGAGGTCCGCGTGTATTTTCACTAGATAAGTTTTCCGCTTCTCCAACTTTCGACCTGAGCATGGAATCCTCCTCCACCAGGCCAGCTGCCCGATGATGGGGGTGGGGGGGGGGGCGGCCTGGCGCCCCCCCTGTCCTAATAGCAGCAACCACGCGACAATCGAAAGGAAGCAAGGACCTCAGGAAACGATAGGCGGCGCAGCATGTGGCGGAGGTCTTGAAAACGTGGCAAATTACCTTCCACGCCTCTTCGTACCTCTACCCGCCCACCAAATGGCTAGCCCGGCTGCTAAATTCGTCGCCATCGGACTAGAGCCATTTCAGCGGAGCTGCAGAGCACAGATTTATGATGACGAAGTCTCCAGCTGCGAGTAATCACCCAAGGGCGAATCAGCGGTGGAAAACGATGGTCTTGTTTGACGGCTTCGGAGATAACTCAGGTTGGGCTGGGGTTCGAGATACTTAGGTTTGCTTTTCTTCATTGTTGCACTTCTTAGCATCTCTATATTATTCCCAATGAGGAGCAATTTATCGTATCACCTGTCTTGAAATGAATTTGCCTATTTTTCGAGCGAGTGATAACTGCAACGCCCAAGTTTTACCACAACTTCCAGACCCTATTTGCTCTGGGGTAGGCTTAGTTCTGTGACATTACTGAGGACCTGTTCCTTTTGGACGATCTTCTTGATCCGGTGAATTAATAACATCAATAACAAACACATCAATGGTAGCTAGCAAATTAGCACAGTGCCCAAAAAGGGGATTCAAAGCAGAAATTCGGGATTTCTGAACAAAATGAAGCTTTTGCCTGAGAAATATCCGGTGGAAAGCAAGCGCAGAGGGGATTACCACTGCGCCACGATTTAAAAAGGTTTAGGGGAGGGAGACTTTATTTTCGACCTTGTCGAAGGTTACCTCCCTCTTCCCGTTTTTTATTACTGGCGTTGACCTTCACTTCCACTGTCACTTACAAACGAATGACAGCTCGATTCAATCCCGAAATTTGCTATGATGTTTGTTGAATGGGCATAAATAGTGCAAAGGATATAGGCGCAACAACTAGCCTGTGTACACCGCAAGATCAATTCTAGCTCAGAGCAGCCCATCGTAGAGCTCATCTCACAGAATTCCTGCTGTGGTCTCCCTATGCCTTCTGACTCTGGTAGAGAAATGCCTACTGCATGCGAAAATTGCCTTAACGATAACAAAAAACTCTTATCACCAAACGGAATTTATCAATAATGACAACGTCATGCCTAAAATATGGTTCATCTATTTCTTTCATTTATGATCCTGTTTTGTGATGAAAAAGATAACCGGGTGGGTCGAAGTGGACGGGGAATGAGGTCAAATTGTAGAAAGAACAAGAGGCGATAGGCATCTATTGCCATATCTCTGGATCGGCGACGGGTCGGCTGCCTTATAGGAGAGTTACAAATTAAATTCGATAATGTCGAGGAAACGAAAAACATCACTATGAAGAAAACAACGGTATTTAAAAGGCCAAAGGTCACCGATTTGGCTTGTAAGTGCTTCTAAGAGGTGATTTTTCAAGAGATCGCCCGCAATTTCACAGCTCCTGTAAGGTTTTACGGAGCCGGGGACCCAGCCGCTGCCCAGTCAGTAGTGGGAGCTATCTATGAGAGGGTGCAGTATTCAGAAAAGGTATGGAGGAAGAGTTACCCAGGGTACTAGACCAAATCTTTTCGACAAGAAGATTCATAATCAGGGACCGGAAGAGAGCACATCAAGGCCAAACATGGCACTATAGCTGACTGCAAAACAGTTCTTCTCAATAAGCCCTCCATAACGACCGGTACACCCAAACCATAGGAATCCTAAATAATACCAATGTTGAAATAGCAAAGGGGTCATAGGGCCTCACTTCAGAAGGCTCACTTTCCTATGGCGTACACCACCTCCAATGTGCGTCCTCTTCACTTGCTCAACTCTAAGTTACACTTCTTCGAAATATGACACCTACTTCCCCCCCCCTTCCTCCAGCCCTCGTTAAAACTGGCTTTGAACTTTGGCACCATATACCAACTAGATCAACGCGCTCGAGCCCAACGACACAGGCCCGGTGTAGCGAGACAAAGGAGGAGGCATATAGCTCGGTCTAGGAAAAGTGGGATGATACATTTCTAAGAAATTATCAACAAAGCAGGCGCATACACAGATATGGGGCATTCAAGATCTAAGCGAGCATGTTGCTGGAGGAAGTTGGGAAAAATGAACATTGTCAGAGACCCTGGAGGCATTCGTCCCTCACTAGGAGGAGTTTTACCTGATGTCAACAAATCGGAGACGTTTTACGCAGTTCCAAATGCATTGCCATGACATTGCCCCAGTATCTTGTGATAGCTCCTAACGAGGGAATAAACCAGAGCCCAATCGACTCGATCCACAAGCAGCGCACCTAAGAAGCAGGATGCGGTCTCAAAAGAGGACGAAGAGAGTTAATCGTCAGACTAAACTTGAAGCAGTTTTCACTCAAAATTTGTGCTGTCTTTATAACCAAGCCAAGCCCCGTGAGCAGTTTTTCATTCCAACATACTGCACTTCGGGTTCGTCGGAGCATGCCCCGTATTTGCGATAAGCGCCCGTAAGCATTAATATGGCCGACATTTCTGCAAAAAAGTTCCATGGTATCGCATTAGAAGTGATCCGGGGCCAATTGCGAGCGATTGTGCATACATAAAAAGGCGACAATCGACATTGTGAGTCAGGCGGAACGTCATATCGACAAAATTATACTTTCAAAGCGATTCGCGCCACCCATTCGGCTACTAAGTAGTAGTGAAAAACAATAGAAATAAATAGAAGCAAATATTCAGGTGATTTTAGCACCTACCGACGGCCATGAGGTAGACAGTGAGGTAGATCTCTGGAACGACTTGAAATGCGCGTCGTCATTTGACTCGACCGTACTTCGGGTATAGTAGTACAGAGCACCACAGCCGATACTAAGAATGTAGAAGCCGATGACGAACATGCTGGACAAGGAACGTGTGTGTCACGGGCGACTGTAGCCGACCGACCACAGCGCCCCAGAACGACGCCGTGCCCCGCCCAAACGGCCACGTACACGAGCCAAATGCAAATAGCGCGATTAGATTGCTCGCTGAAACTGAGGTTATAAATGCACGTGGCTTGTGGATTGTACAAGGCGTGGAATACCAACGTGGATTCCACGTGGAGAACCGTTGAGGAATAGGTGAAGCGTCGGCGTAGGAGACTGCCATCTACCTCGAATTGGCCCACAAAGTTACCGCAAGAAGGTATTGGAGAATTGCGGCGCTCATGTCGGTGGGGGGCGTTCAATGATGTTAGATTACATACTTGATAGTCAGGGGTTGAGCAGATTGGAGGGGAAAGTTATGTGGAAAGATGTGAGCTTGGTTTTTCTCTGACGTTTTCCCCTCTCCTGGGCCTAGTCCTAGTGTCACCTATTATCTTTCCTGTTCTGAATGTCCCCCTTAAGGGCATGAGCGCCGCGAACCATCCTTGGCAACCTATTTGAGCTAGGAATTTCATGATCTTCGCATAACTGTGACAAAATTTTGGCATTTTCCCCACGTGACCTTTTCTTTTCTATTCCACAACCCGCCCTTAACTTTAATAACACCCAATTCAGCGCTCCCAGGGAGATCTTTCTCTGAACCACAGTGGCAGGAAGCACGTTACACCCTTCCAGCTGAAGAACGAGCACTCGACTTGTTCACCTCAGGGTTACGTATTGCTAAACAATACCCAACCCGGGGTGAACAAATGGGGGGTTACATCGATGCACTAGGTGAACTAACCAGGAAGGTCTTTCAGGGCGTGACAAGCTTTTTGAAAACGGTCTTTTGCATGATATAGGGGCAGATGCGGGGACCACAGAACCATGTTCAATTTTTCCTGAACGGCCCTCTGAATACCAGAAAAAGAGGGTCCCTAGTTCGATTCTCGTGGTAACAAATTTTTGCATTTCGAGTTGACGTGCCAAAATTCGCGCAAAATGGAGTTAGAACCAACCAGAACAATCAGAACTCCATTTTGCGCGAATTTTGGAACGTCAACTCGAAATGCAAAAATTTGTCACCAAGAGGAATCGAACTAGGGACCCCCTTTTCTGGTATTCAGAGGGCCGTTCAGGAAAATTAAACATGGTTCTGTGGTTCCCCGCATCTGCCCCTATATCATGCAAAAGACCGTTTTCAAAAAGCTTGTCACGCCCTGAAAGACCTTCCTGGTAAGCTCTGCATTGCCGCATTAAGGTAGTTGTTTTGGATATGATTTGGTTACGCTTCAAGAATTGATCCACCCAGTAAAACCAAAGTGGGTTTTTACTTCCCATGGGACACTGAATTGAGACCTAGGCGAATCAAAAGAGAATGGGATGCTGTTGACGAAGTTCAAAACTGCTCAGTCGACGTGGCAAGGGAGTTGTAAACGAGCAAACCGGTCCAAGGTTCGATTCCACATGATGACCGAGTTTTCACATCTTAGGTGTGCAATTTGAAGTTGATGTCGGTAGATAGGTAGGTAAGGCAATCGGTATCTTTTGGAAGCGTTTACCAAATATTAGGGTCAGTCCATAATTTTTGAGAGCCTTTGGTGCTTTTCGATTTAATTATTTATCTTATTTCTCTGATGTAATTGTTCAGCACATTATACATCACCATTATCACCAAAGGTCACTAATTCGAGGGTAGGGACTCAGAGCAGGGTCAACCGTCCGTTGGACAAAGTCCAACGCGACGACGAGAGTAATGCCGAGAGTGAACGTACGCACGGAGACACAGACGGCTCGCGGGTGGCGAGAGTGAATGCCGGCGCGGAGAGCGGTGAACATCGGTCCAACGTCGCTCCAATATCGGTCCAACGTAACGGTTGACCCTGTTCAGGAGTCTTTTCTGCTCAATTTCAGAGTTTGTTCGAAAGAAAAATGGGAAGGGATTTGACTTATGTGATTGCAAAGTGAGATTCTTTACATAAATCGTGATTCAGAGTGGAGAGCATATAGCCGTTCGTTGGCACAAGGTTAGTGCAACAAGGTGTAGCCAAAAGAACTGATCGCCCGAGGGTCTCCAATTTTTTATGAATTTTCTTAGCAAGGTGGACTCAAACGACCTCAGAAAAAAAATAGATATTTGGACTTACATTGCAGTTGAGGTGCCATGCAGATTCGAACGATTATTGTTATCACTGACAGCTGGTATTAGTTGGTACCGGTTTCCAGCGCAAAGTCCCTCTTGTCATTCCGCCAACGACTCAGGGAAGTAGAATTCAGAGGGAGTTGGACTTTTGCTGTCAGATTCTCCCGAATCGTTTAAGCTAAGCTACTGCGGCTTGTGATTTGTTGACATGCCACCTGTCACATCACCAATGAGTAGGAATGGTATAGGTCATTCGGGAAGAAACTATGGGAATCATAGGAACATGATGATTTCAGAGTAAGGGTTTAGGATGAAGCGGGTCCACGGAGAGAAAGGATCCATATTTTAACCTTAGAACTTTGTCGAGATGTCTCAGTTACTCTCACCTTGCAACACAAAAGCTTCAACAGCGTCGGATAAAGCATCGAGATTGCCAGTCACGGGGTGGTTGGACTTTGGATCATCTTCAAATAAAAAGAGGGAACCCTGAATAGAGGTAACCACGGTACACCGTGGAATGAGAGACTGTGCCTCAGCTATCTTTTAGTCAATCCTCCAAATAGCTTGGTTTATGGAAGATCCTGATCTGAAGTCACGAAGGAAGGGGCTCAGAGAGGTTTCGAGAAATTGGAATGTCTAGCTAAAAGAAAGTTACAAGGAACGAGATGGACTGCTGCGGATAAGGCCGAGTTGTTGTGCTAAAGTTGCCAAGCATCTTCAGAAGCTTCATCGCTTATCGAGAGATTTTTACACCAATACATGTAAAGTCTCTCAAAAATTATGGACTGACCTAATACTTATTATACTAACGTAGCATTTACGACCAACGTTGACCTTGGATGTGCGAGTAGCTACTTCGTATAGCATATTTGTAACCAGCCGTCCAGACTCGATCGACTTTCCTAGGTGCCATCGAGAAATCGATGAGAATCGAAGCCTTCTCTAGTAAGAGGCATTCCCAGCACTTTTACTGCTGCCACGATCAACGGTGAAATCACCTAGCGCTAATTCGAGGAATTGCTTCACCCCGTGTAGACACGCAGCACACTTTGGGAATCATAGTGAGCAAGACCCTTTTGTCAATTTAAAACCGGCAACTAAAATTGGCCTGACATCAAAAAGAATTAACAGAAAGCTAGGATTGGAAAAGGCATTACGTGGCATTTTGCACGTGTCACCTTCTCCTTTGTGACAAGCTCAAGGTTTTGAAGTAACCATAAAGGTGGCCTTTTAAAGGAAGACATTGCAGCAAGTAATATTTGTATTATAATTTCCCTTCTTATCACGTTGTGTCCCACTGTCAATCAAATTGATAGATTCACACCTGAATCTTAGAGAATGATTCAGATATAATCTATCAATCAATCTATCAACTAATGGAGATTTCAAAACACCTTTCCGTTTACAACTCGTTTCGAGTGACTTCATTTGAAACAATACAATCTTTCGCATAACAATAACTGGTAAACAATGCCTAACCTAGAAACGATCGCGGATACAGAAGAAAACATCAATGAATGAGTAGAGCTCCTGTGAAGTAGCTGACTATGTAGTAGATTTGTTAAACAGAATCTGATTTCAAACTGAGTTTGCCCATTCTTCGCTCACAGTTCGGGCAACTACCACACCAACGACGAAACCGACGAGCCCTTTTACGACAGACCTGTAATTCAAAGAAACAATAACACGACCGTGAAGCAATCCGAAAGATAGCATCACAAAACTCAAAGCTATAAACTTCACAGACGTGAAGCACCAATCATCCGGCGATAATCCCTTTTAAAGATACGCCCGATGCCCATACCTCCATTATTTCAGAAGACTTTCTCAAAATTAGACAACTGTGAAGAAGGGGATCCCGGTGTTCTTTGGGATAACATTTCATCCTCAGATCAACGCAGCACCGCCGGTATCTACTCTCGTCCACTCGCTTGAGTTACCGAAAAAATGGAGATTAGACTGGAGGGAGGGGGTCATACAAATGGAAGGCGAAATGGGTATCACAGTCAACAGGTCAAAGGTGTATCAAGCAGCGAATGTTTTTTCCTTTTAAGGCCCTTATGAAATCAACACGCGTCCTCCCCACAAATAAACTGCTAGGTATATTTTCATTGTTTAGTTATGATTATTCAAAACTCTGGGTCTCGAAATTTTGAACATAGGCTTTTGGAACCAAAACACAGCATTTACACCATTAAAAAAGACATTGCTAACTATTTCAGGAAATAAATGCTATATAACACAAAGAGCACCAAAATTTATTTCAAAAAAAAAATCCAAAAGTTCAGCGAGATTCGAAAAAACCCCGAAAATTCCTAAAACCAGAAATAAATTGAGCTCCTGATGAGGCTCCGGAACAGCACTATACTAGGAGTTTTTCAGGAAAAATGAAATGAATACAGAATAGCTCAATATGGATCCACTAATAATATCTATCCCAAAAAAGTCCACATAAGCGCGGATCGAAATATACAACATAACGCTGCGCTGGCGGTTCTCATTTCAACTGAACCACTTCAACTCGCATGTCCATTGCACTGCTATGACAGTTACATGCACGAACTAGACTGCCGACTTCTAACAAACACAAATAATAAATCCAGACTAGTCTGCTTACTGTGCTTTTTTCTTATTGTCCCGTCCAAATGAGTCAATTTTATCAAAATCATCATTTTTCAACCATCATTCTCTAGAAATAAGTGCAGAAGTAACTCTTGTGTTCAAATCATTCAAACTTTGATTCAAACCATGCCATTTCAAATGCTAGCATATGTACCCCTTGTCTCCCGTGCCTAGGTGAGTTTGCAATGCAGACATATCAACATAGGCGAGGAGCAAAATAATCAATAGCATCAATAATCATATGTGAAAGGGAACTTTTCGTGGTACTCGTCCTGGGTTCTACTTCTGCAGAGACATTGGACATGAATCAAGGCCTCAAAAAATCAATGTCGCGTTAGATTCTTCATGCTATTAAATGGCTCATGCTTGACCAAGTCTGCACTGAAAACTCACTTGGTGCAGGATACGAAGGTACTCAACCTTACGCTGTTTCCCGAAAGCTTTACCACAAGGTAATGCAAGGTTGAGCACGTGAGCGCATTGCACTACTCTTTGTATTTCCCTGAGAATGCATGGTTTTCATCATACATTGCGGCATCGTAATCACCCTTTGGCCTTATCACTTCTACCACTGGGGACATGTTATGAATACTTTTGCGACATATGTATACAATTAATGTTTGTGTTTTCACAGGCTGACTCAACCGCTGCCACAATGTATGATTCAAAGAATGCATTTGCAAGAAAAAGCTCACACATTTACCCAACCTCGCACTGATTCGGAGATGATTTCATTCACCAGGATCAACAATGGAAAGAAATATTTACTATTATAGATAGGTCCACAATTTTTGAAGCACTCGAGCTGCCTTTGAAATTAAATTCTTTTGTTAGTCAGAACAAAATATTTCGGCTCCCCACTTTCTTCACGATTTGGGGCGCGGCCGCGGCAAACCCGCGGCGTTCGCGGCCGAGTAGTGCGGCATCAGCTTGCCTGAGTATTCGACGTTACATTACGTGTCGTTACGATCGGATGAACTAACACGTAATGTAACGTCGAATACTCAGGCAAGCTGATGCCGCACTACTCGGCCGCGAACGCCGCGGGTTTGCCGCGGCCGCGCCCCAAATCGTGAAGAAAGTGGGGGAGCCTAAATACTTCACTTTTTTAATACTTTCAAACTATCAGCGAATTACGGATAGAATACATTCAGTCTATTCTGGCGTTAAAATCCATGGAGTTTCGATCAAACGAGGATGCACAGACCGATTAAGAGAAGGGGTGATTCCCCTAGGACTATGTTTGGGGGGGAGAGAGACCCGCCATAGAGCGCAGAGGCGGTTTAAAGGGCTGAGTTTAAGTAGCCCGTCGACCAAGAACTAGGTGCACAGGGACTAGAATTGAGAAAATAGAAATAAATAAATAGATCGTTCGTCGATGTGACATGTCGACGACCTTTCAGGTATACGTGCCTCTCAGCCTAAACCGCCAAACCGCTTCATCGTATAAAAACTTAGATCGAGAGCTATGAACGCTGGCTCCCCCACTTTCCCCCTTTGAGGGGCTATAACAACAAAAGCCCCATGGATAAACGCAGCGACGAACAGCGCACGGCTCTTCCTCCCTCAACTACGTTAGCATCAACTGCTTCAGAACTATAGACCCACCTGCCTGACCCGTTACCCCAGCTTATGTCACTTTCTCTACGTGACGGGAACACTTTTTTTGCGAAATATGTTCCACAGGGATGTTTTCACAGACTGCCACAAACGCAGCGCTGCCACAAACAGTAAAGCAACCAAGAAAAAAAATAGCTAAAATAGAACAAGGTGCCAAAAACTTTTCTCGTTGTAATTGCTTGAAGCTCACCAGTGGAATGGATTGTTGTAGATGGAGTCGAAAATGGGGAAACGAGTATGAACTTGAGGAGGAGGAGAAGGGCCTTGCTGGACACGGAACACATTGCCTGAAAAAAGAATGATGTATAAGTAGAATAAAGGCAAGTAAAAATAGGACACGCTTGATTGATATTGACAGCAGATCTCATGATGGTCTGCCATCGATTGATATCCTTACATCTGCATGAGTTAAGTACGACAGTTATTCCAGCCCAAGGCTTCCAAGACAATACCTACCATTTGGGCGCGGCGCGGCGATTGCAGGCCGAGTCAATTGTGCCGCGAACGTTGAAAAGCGCACAATCGGCGCGTTCGCCTGCGGCCGCGCCCAAAATGGTTAGGTAATGTCTGGTGGAGCCATCCAGACAATACTGGTTAGAATGGTACAAAGTGTAAATGAGATCGATAATCAACAAAACCGCGATAAGGCCGCGTTCATAGTTCGCGACTCCGGAGAGTAGGATAGTACGCGACAATGAAAAGATATATGTATTGACGGGGAGATTAGGATAGTAGTAGATTAGGATAGTAGTAGATTAGGATAGTGCGCTGACAAGATTAGATATGTATTGATCTATTCGCTTGAAGTCGCCCAATCTACTACTCTCCAGCGATTTCAATCGATACGTATCCAATCTTGTCAGCGCAATCTCCTACTCTACTACTATCCTAATATCCTGTCGCCTACTATCCTAATCTCCCGAGTCGCGAACTATGAACGCGGCCTAAGGATAAAGTTAACAAGCCTTTTTAAAAGTCGTAACTGTGAAGAGCGAATCACGAATGCATGATGCAATCTGACGCAAACTAGTGGTCCGGTCACTCGGGTCACGAAATGTTATCCAGCGAAACAGAAATGCAAACTTTAAGAATCATTACTCCTACATAAGCGTTCCTCCACTCGTGAGTACAAAACAGCTAAAAACATGTACTTAAAGCATATGAAGACAAAAGTAACTCCAAAACAAGATTTTTCGTTACTCCTAAAATAAATAGAAATGTATGGTTGCGAATATGGGGGCTAGTGTACTTGAGGGGGATATGATATGCGATAACCACAATAAGCAGTAAAGAAAGAAAAATGCATTATGAACATATCAACGGTATCACGGTTCTCAATCTTGTAAAATAATTCCTATGCGATTCGACAGGAGAGGAGAACACAGGCGGTTACGGTAGCCTCGCGTCGGACGCAATCGCACCAACGCTGTAACTGCGGTCAGAGCGGTTTACCTGACGGTATATTCGGATGCATTGCAGTCCCGAAGCTTTCGACTTTGATTACTATCGAATTGAGTTCTATTTGGTTCGTTTTGCTCATTAGTAATGTGGGTAACATGTATAAGGAGAGGATAGCGATTTCTGGAACGCAGCTCCAAGTGAATTCAATAAGAGCGGGTTGCTTGTTGCGTTGTTGTTTCATTTACGTTCTCATAAGTTTTGTTTTACATTTCAGTTGTGAATTGATTTTCTTCGTCTTCACTTAGGTCTTTATTTACAGTGTCTATAAGCATGTCTGGGGTGGCTGGTGGAGCAGGCAAGAAGAGTAGCAGCCGCTCAGTTGCCACTAAGACACTGATCATCCAGGAGTATAAACGTAGACTACGCGACAACATACGCTCCCTCAACGACAACTTCATCAACATACTAAACGCTACGAAGGTTTGTTTATTGCTTAAGTTGTCGTCGCAAAGCTGACTTTAGTGACACTGACAATAATGCAAGCTATTTATACTAAACCAGTTTAGCTCCGCCCGCTACCGCGCGCATTGATAGAACTGACAATCGATGAAGCTTTAGGTTTCACCGCTAAATTATAGCTGCTTCGTTAAATGTATTACTGTCCGTTGCATAGGCTGGCTGTATCTCACTGTTTGATAAGCGCAGTGAAGTGCACAGCTAAAGTGATGATGTAAACAACCACTATGCGTCGAGTATCGAGGTAATTTAGCGGTCGAATATCTCAAAACGGAATGCCCAGTATTCATTATCATATTTATTCGAGCATCCCATTCATCCTCAAGAACTCTAGAAGGTGTAGCGGTCGAAAGGTGTTTGAGTTTACAATTACAACGCTGATGAAATGATATTGAAATGAAATGCATTATCTACAATCTATTTTCTATTTCAAGTGCTCTCTACGTTCGTACGCATATCGTTACTATCAGTCCTCATCAGTCGTTATCACTTTTTGACCCCCACCAAATATGTTCCCGTCCCACCCCCTATATCATGTCCCAAAATCAGCTCCTGACGACTGCTGCGAAGCGCACTATGAATTTCGTGAAATTTGTGTTTCAGCGCCTCTTATCTGCTCTTATCAGTCGTTATCACTTTGTGACCCCCACCAAATATGTTCCCGTCCCACCCCCTATATCATGTCCCAAAATCAGCTCCTGACGACTGCTGCGAAGCGCGCTATAATATTTCGGAAATTTTGACAGTGAAGGTAACCAGAGTATCCGAACTAATACTATTCTATAGAATGATCGGGTCTGTTCTAATCCGAGGGGGATTTGAATTTTGAAAGTTATTGAATTTTCATAGTAACAAGGCATTTACTACTTTGTTTTCGTTTTTACTCAACTAGGTACTAGTATTTTACATAGGTATAAATTTTTATATGACAAATCCGACTATGGATTAACTGGTTACCAGTGCACCAATCACTAGTATTTTAGTTATTGAAGGAGTGATCACCATTCCTAAAAAAATGAACGAGCCGAAATTCACGTGCAACAGACCGTCGTCAGTGTGTTAAACAATAGGGTTCCGTTAAGCCCTATCATAGCTTTTCAGATAAACACCGATGACGCAGCTCACAAGAACAGTTCGGGCAAAATGACGGAATACTACACGATTAAAAACGAAATGGCAGCACGTGCGGCTCTCATCGTATGTATTTTTTATCACAGTATTGATTGGATAAACCTTACTGAAATGCCGATCCTTTTTACTCTCGGATCAGACTTTGCGAACGTGCACATTCGTTAGCGATGCACGGATTCGCTGCAATTGGTGGTGTCCGAGCGATGCACTAACGAATTTTATCGCTGGTTTCATCGCTCGTACCCTCGAATTGCTAGCGAAGTGCCAAATCGCGGAAGCGAATCCGAGGAATCGCAAAGTCTAACACTGGCCGCGGTCTTTCTTACTCAAGGCTCTTTCTGCATCCACATCATCCATTTTTCCGCTTATGTGCGACTTCCCCTCGGTTTTATTTTGGAATGGTTTGTGGACCGTCCTACGAAAATTTCCTGTGATTCCTTCTCTTTTGTTGTTGCAAACATCTAAATGAAATAAGTAGGGAATGCGGATAAGGATAAAGGATAAAGCATTTGCCGTTGATCAATCCCTTTTTGGGATGCGGCACGCATTCTACTTCCATTTGTACATTCGTAGTGGCGTTTGAATGCGATGTGGCCTATACAATGACTTGCGGGGGCCAGCCGATGTACAAGTCAGTGTTTTTATCCTCCCAGACAAGTCTGGTACCAATTAACCGACCCCGGAGGGATGGAAGGCTTGGTTGGCCCGGGCGACTCACGACCCAGGATTTGATCCCCGGACCGCTCGCGTGGTAAGCGCCACTTGCCACTACACCACTTCCGCCCTTTGTGTGAGCGAATACAAGAGTATAATTGACAATACATGTTGTTTTACTGAAACATTCTAGGCGAAAGACATTTTGACGTCCACTTCCGCGGGAATTAATAGATTTGACTACTTATTTGCCGTTACGCGTGCTTCTGTTCAGAATTCTTCCGTCATATTCCTGAATAAATTCTATGCATTGAGTGCTGCTGAAATGGTTTTTTGCCTTCCATGTTTTGTCCATTTACTTCCCAAAGTTACATTGATGAAATTGGGCAACCGCGCTCGCAAAATCGCTTCGATCCCACACGGCCAAAATGTCAAAACGCGCGCTTTTGTCAACGTTTACAGGTTTCCATCATGTCCCAGCCTCGGTGTTCCATGCACGCTTGGACCAACATTATTTATAAGTCATTTAGGTGAGGGCATGTGACGAACTGCTGAAGTTAACCAATGATTTGAAAGAATTCCTGATCCTCCACGACTTCAACTTTTTAACACACGCGATCAAATCGTAAGTTGAAAATGTTCAGTTTTATTATGAGGTGCACTTCCTTTTCTTATTCTTATGTTTCCTTTTCCTTTTATTTTCTTATGTTCACACACTGCTGAAAGAATGCGGCACCATGCGCCCGTCCATTCTTTCTCATGTCCTCAGATGTGACACATAGGACATCAGGTTGCGGTCATATTTTGTGACTATCTTGCAATGAGTACGTGTCGACCTCCGATCCTGCGATCGCGCAGTTCCAAGATCGCATCATTGCACGGTTGCATGCAGGAGATATTGTCCTCCACACCAACATAAAGTAATCGCGAAGAAGAGTGGTCTCTGTGAGCAGGCGCAGCACGCAACACGCCGCGAGTAATGAAAAATGTTTTGCCACACCCAGGTAAACGAAAGGGAATGTTGTTAATGTTTGTTTTGTTCATATTAGTTAAGACGTTGGGGACAGTGTCACCTAAGCCGAGCGACACTCCTAGGTTTATCTTGTCTGCGCAAGTTCCATATTTTTTGCGGTACTGTATTAATTATGAAAGCATTGTATACTAGTATTTGTGGTGGCCTTTGTCTGTGCCCATCTCTCACAGTAGGGCTTTGGTGTCAGACTTTACGAATGAGGCAGAGTCAACCCTGCGTTGCGCAGTTTTCAACGGCCACGTTGCGCAGTTTCGCCCGATTAGACACGTTCTCTCGCGCGAACATTCACACTCGCATGCTCGAGCCGTCTGCGTCTCCGCCCATACAGCGTGCGTTGAGGATCTCTCAACGTGCCGTTGCGAACTGCGCAACGCAGGGTTGACTCTGTCCGTAGATCCGCAGAATCTGGACGCTGGCCTACAATTCACTGCAGTTCGAGTGGTACGAGCGACCCGAAGTGGAGTTAGTCGCTGATTGCTGGTGCATTACTCGTTTCCATCGAGTTGCTAGCAAAAAGCAGTTTGACACTGCCGCCTAGGTATTCTTTCTGCAGAAGAGATGCTCGATCGTGCTTTTTAAGGAAAGCTTGCTTCTCGGATTTGTAAAGCTGATTTCTTGGCTGCTGTTAGCTGTTATAAGAATAAAATTTTTAAGAGAGCAAAATCCGGATCCATATACATCGATTTTAGAAAAACCGAAATTTTGACGGTTGTTTTCGCAGTGAATTTTTGTTGATTTCAAAGGAAAGCGGTAAGAGTAAGACAAAGATAAGATCAAATTCCGCCCTCAATTCTAGCCTCTTGCTGGATCCTGACGCGTACATGTGTATCAGCATTACGTCGTTTGGAAATACGTTGCCCTTGCGTTAATAAGTAGTAATGGATCTTGGTTTTATAACTTGAAGGTCATTAAAATATAATCAAATGCCTATTCAGAGCCGAGGAAGAGTGTGACAAGAAGATGAAAGCGCAAATTCAGAAGCATAACGCTTTGCGAATAGACGTGACCAACTTGCTCACGGATATGGACAAAGAGATAATGGAGCATTTCACCATTCAGACATTAGGAAGTTGTTTGTATTTCATTGTTTGTTTTCTTGCTTTAATATACGGGAGAAAAAAGCCGTAATGGACAATATTTTAACACGTTGACGACATCGCATGTTTTGGCATTTTGCACCTCGTGGGACAGGAGCGATTTTGCGACCGCGCCGTCCTCACCTTACTTACGCTTATTTTTTGTTAAAAATGCACAATAACTTGAATTTCATAGGACTATTTCGGCAAGGACGATCGCACAAAGGTTAAGTATATAAGTAGCAAAAGGTTTTCGTTTAGAAGAGCGCATAATAACCACGAAGAAGTAAAAAAAACATCACTTTCGCTGCGAATGAAATTAAAAGCATTTATATCTAAGTACTCCCATCAAATCAAATATATTGAAACTCACAGAGTTTTGTTTCAACTAACTCTAAAATCTTTCATAAGAATATTGACGGCAGTGAAAGTATTATTAAGAAAGAATCGGAACGAAAGTTTTGTGCGTTCGGAAAATCTTTGCTTAATCAAAAGATACTTGACCACTCTAGCTGCCAAGCGGTTTATAGTCATGCTAATGTATTATCTATAGAATGAATACAAGAAACCCGAGAGGAAGGAGCGCAAGCACGATAAAAGTGAGTAGCATAGACTTGACGCGCTTGCGCGTCAGAATGTCCGATGCGGTGCGAAATTCTTGAC